CACACACACGCACTCCCGCGCACTCACTCACACACACACACACACACACACGCACTCCCGCGCACTCACACACACACACACACACACACTCACGCGCACTCGCACACGCACTCGCACACACACACGCACACACACACAGAGCCAATTCTGAGAGAAATAAAACTCACGGATATCATTTAAACGCAAAACCGCAAAACCGTAATTCACGAGCGTGTTTAACCGTGGATGTCGTACCGAACGGTTGGATATTATTTGAAATTTGTGACGTCCCTAATCCACTGTGCTTCAGTCCACACAAACCCACGCTCGCTCTGAGCTTCAGCCGCTCGTGACCCAGACTCTAGATCTCATTCAGACACTGACCGTGGCTCCGTCTCGGAGCTTGAGGATGCACTCCATGGTGTTGATGGTGATGACCACGGGCTCCGAGCTCAGTTTGGTCCAGGGCACGTGGATGCGCAGCTCGTGGATGTGTCCGCTCAGAAAGGTGAAGGGCAGCTTGAGCTCCTGCAAACACACACGCAGCCCATCAGTCAAACATGAGTTCAGCAATTCAACACTCACAATCAAACAGAACCCATTCACAAAGGCTTCAAACGCTTCCCGAGGCGTCCTGACAGGATCCCAGAGTGGCTTTAATTGAAGATCACTAGAGAAAGTTTAACTCCCGCTCGGGACGACGCAAGCTGCTTCTAATAATATCCTGCATCAAACTCTGAGAGCGTGTGCGGAGCCAAACATTCTCACAACATCACACAGTGATCCGTTCCAGATATTACAACTGCAAAAGCTCAGTGTTGCCCAAATAAGAACGCAAAGCAAATGCTCTGCTGCATGTATGTGAGAGCTGGGAAACACCCACAAACATCCACTTCAACCCTTCAGAAACACTGACAGCTTTGAAGAAACAACATGAAAACACATCTTTTTTTATAAGATGTTGGCTGTGTTCAAGTCCCTGCACACAGTCACTGCTGATGATAACTGTTAGGGGTCGATTTACACTAAATGTCAGGGGCAGATTAAAGTTCATTCTGAATATGATTTACTGTAAATTGATGCAGAATTATATCTGAATCAGCTGACCCTTTGCTACTGACTAAGCAACTTTCCAAGCTTTTGCTTGTTCAAATGTAAATTTATGAAGGATCTGCGTGTTTGCGATGCAATTTTACAGAAATTATCACAAAATAAGGTTAAGCGTTGTTGCCGGGTCACTTCTACTAGCGACACTGAATTTTCCCTTTTCCAAATCTTTAAATAAATCTTGTACATGCTGTGTATTACTCTCTGTGTCGCCGTCGTTTCCATTGAACACGTCTGTAAGAGCATATTCAGACGACTGTAGTGTGAAAGTAACCTGAACAAAACTGTTCCTCACACTAATGTTATCAGCTGTAACTGCTGTCAAACCATTCCTCCTTTTAGTGACACTGTTCTGATTCACGGCCTCACAGATTTAATCATGTAACTGCATTATTTAATAATTTCATCAATATCAACAGTAACAAGGGGAGGCGGGGCTGTAAACAATCAGCAACCGCCAGCAAATGTAAAGGTTCACTCTATGCCATGATAAACATTTTCAAAAACTAAGTACAAAGACGTGACATTATTCTCCTCGTGTAGAAGTATGAACAAACTACTTTCAGCAAACCATAAATGAAATCTCAGGAGTTATTACAGATGTCACAGGTATTCTGGTGTCTAGTGTTGTCAAAAGACCCGGTATTTCGGTACCTTTTGCTTTGGTACCGAAATTGGTACCGAGAACCGAGGATTTTCACTGGTATCGGTACCGAATACTGAAATGTTGGTACCGTGACAACACTAGTGGTGTCACTAAAGTCACATTAAAATACCAAGCAGTACATTATTTTCCCGAGGAATAAAAATAGAGCGATGGAAAATGTTCAGATCTTCAGTCAGAATGATTTGTTTCAGTTCTTCTGGGTGGCAGATCCCGAAACCAGGAGTGCCGCCATATTTTAAAATGCAGTAAAGCTCCTTCAGAAAAAAACAGGCAGAAGGACATCAGTGAAGTAAAGCTTCATCATCACAACAGTATATCAGCTGTGATTGTCTCTCACCTGCTCCAGCACGTCCAGTCTCGGGTCCAGTTTGCTCAGAACCAAGTCGCCGCCCCATAGTGACAGCTGCAGGTCCGACGGCTTCAGGTTCTTTATGTAGCGGTTCACATAACTCACACAGTCACTACACACACACACACACAGTCACTACACACACACACACACACACACACACAGAGACAGAGACACACACACACAGAACTGTAGAACTCAATCTAGATTTCTAATAGACCGTATTTGAGAGGATTGGTCAGCGGACTTGAACCTCACTGGCAGAGTTTTGAACAGAACATGATGCTGAACACACGCGATATTTACCTGAGCAGCAAGTGGCATAATCCTCCACTGAGGTCACCGGGGTGTACATAATAAACGTCTAAAATAATTAGCGAACGTTAAGTGTATTCTGATGCTATCATTTGATGTCATTCATGTCTCTCTTCAGAGCCGCCTCGGCGTCGCACAGCGCTCGTCTACGTCAGAATGATGATGTGGCCAATCAAATCAAAGGAGGCGAGGCTTAACTGACGCTTCAGATTTAACGGTCAACATTAAGATTAACGTTTTTCACAACTGTTTTACAATAGAATCTTAAACAACCGACAGTGATATTCAGCCAAACTAATCGACTTTTGTCCAATTCTGCGTTTTAAATAGAAAAATATAATTTACGTCATGTAATGTACTTCTTGGTTGTCAATGACAAGAAACATTAACTGCCAGTTTCCATCATATTAGGCATAACATTAAGAATGAATGTGTGCATATTGTGATTAATCCATACACGGTTACCTGTTTTTCTGATATCCTTTCAGAGAGTTATGATCCTCACACCTCCATCAGGACAGTCGTTTAACTTTAGACCATTAAAATCGTTTACTTTTTAATACATTTGAGCTCTTTAACTATTTTTATGTATTCTTATTTTTATTTATTGCTTTAACTTTGTCTTTTTGATAAGAAGAGTCTTCGCATGTAAACGCTATGCCTGTATTTCCCTGAGGAGGCGGTGATATCTGCATTTACTCCTCATCTGAGCCCGTGTTTACGCTCTTCGCCGACACAGATGAACACAGACTGACTGACATGCGGTCTAAAGCTCTGACACTGCTAGCGAGCTCAGCACACACACACACACACACACACACACACACACACTTATAGCTTCACCGACGCGTCAGACTCCTGCAGAAATACAAACACAAGCCGCGTCCATCACTTCCGCATACTCAACGCCATAGCGTCATCACCTGCGTACATACGTCACTTCCGGCACGGCTGACGCGAGGCAGAATTTTTTTTTTTTTAATTACTTTTTTTGTCCGTTTCTTTCAAACACAAACATATTTATTAATGATCCTCTGACATGACGTTATAAACAGTTAAATTAAGTTCAGCTTTTAAGCGACACGTTCTGTGTGAATGGAGCCTAATCATCATCATTATCGAAACACTGACTTTACACGACTAATCGTTCAATATTAATTATTGCTATATACCGACTATATAATAATGCTGACACTCCATGCGTTCTCTGCGTAAACGCGTTTATTTGACGCTCAGCTCGAGTTGTTTACTCTTCAGTAATGAGCGACAGAGCAGTAATTATATCAGAAGCGGAGGGTTTGCTGAAGGACTGCTACTAGAACATTTATTAAATATAGCCTGCACTAAAATCTGTAAATAGCCTACTGATTATATACTTCTGTATTATTAAATACTGACAATACCTAACATGACAATACTTCTTCTTCTTATTATTATTATTATTATTAGGCCTATTATTATTATTAACACTAAATCTTCATTATGCTATTAAAAACTGACTATAGCCTAGGCTAGCCTAATGATTTTTAAATACCTTTATTTAATTGAGCACTGATACAGTCATAATCATTTTAATTATTAAACCATAAATCCACACACACGGAGTTTCAGAGGCAGTCTGTAATAAACCAGCCGTGATTCAGACCTGTTCTGTTTCGGATCTGCCTTTCTGGGGTATTTGATCACAGGCCTTCCAAACCGGGTCGTCTTATTTATCATAATCATAATCATCCGTTTTATTTATAGGATTTACACGTTTTGGAATTGCGTCGTTTATACGAAATGAACAAAAAAACTCGACAAATGAATCTGTTTTTAATTTGAAGAGTTTAATTGTACGGGCTCGTTATTCACACGTGCCATTGTTCTTTTTTATATTTATGATTTTCCAGAAGAGCTTTTTCTTTTTTCGGTTGCGTCTTTTCTAAAGATCTTCCAAACCTTCTTCTTCTTCTTCTTCTTTCTGCAGCCTATTTCTGCATATTATTATTTACACTATTTATATACACAAAATATTTGCTCACATTGTGTGTTTTTAAGATGAAAGCATGAATGTGTTGCAGTGTCTGTGCACTATTAGAGATGATTAAATAAACAGCGTGTGTGTGATTTAATGAGCGGCTCAAACAGCCTCAACTACATCCACAGCGAGGCCCATGTGTGACTAAAGAAAGTCCAGACAGCTAAATATTATAGTTGTCATAAATACTTAAAAAACAAAAACACTTAACCTTAACATTTCTACCGTCTTACACACTCTTGTGGAGCCTATAGCTACTCGAAAGGTTTGCAGCCAAAAATTAAAATTACATAACCATGTCGGGACATAAATAAATAAAATAATAACATAGGCCCTAACATATGAAAATAAAACGTAAGAAGGGGAAAAGTAGATTTTTTTTTTTAAACAAAAGTCCAGTCACCATTTAGAAAAAGAAAACTCTTTTATTAAAGCAGAACTGTGTCCGTCTCTTCTCACTCACGTGTTATTGTCTTTGACTGAAACACATTATTGTATTAATCCTGCGCTCATGAGAGCAGATCAGCCTTTATTCACACAATGAGTCCTCCCATCAGCTCCAAACGCGTCGAGTTCAGGTGCAGGTGATAATACAAACAACGATCAAAACTTTATTTTCACGAGTTCCCAGAGTCTGTTGAGGCAGAGGCTGAGCGTGTGTGGGAGTCACTGGTTAGTGCACTAGTTAGTAGTCCTGCTGCGGGCTGTGTGTCAGACTGTGGCGTCGCAGGTCGCAGTTGCGCCGAAACAGCTTCCCGCAGCGGCCGCAGGAGAAAGGCTTGAGGTCTGTATGGGTGAGAAGGTGAGTTTTCAGGTTACTTCTTTGATTAAAGGTTCTTCCGCATGTGGGGCATTTGTGAGGAGATTCCTTTTGAGATTTGAAGCAAGCAAAGGATTATTCCCTTCAGTTTTCCATCAAAAATAAACGCTTCAATGTCAACATTTCAGGCCCAGAGATGTTTATATAGGCCCATGCATGCTCGTCTATAATCGACAGCCCCAAACATGACATTTTAATTAAGAGCTCAACGAACAAAACTCTGTTTGTGCAGAATGTCATTCACATACAGAAGGTACAAATGAGGACAATTTACCTGCAAGTGCAACGTTTTATGAACCGCCAAAGTTCGCGACTGACAAAACCCCTTCCCGCACTCCTGACATTTGAACGGTTTCTCCTTGGAGTGAATATATCTGCAAAACAAGCGAGAGTGAGTCAAGCTGCGCACACACACACACACACACACACACACCAAGCTGCACACACACACACACACACACACACACACACACACATGTTGGTATCGGTGGTTTACGGGACTCTCCATAGGTGTTTTTATACTGTACAAACTGTATTTTCTATCGCCCTACACCTAACCCTACTCCTCACAGAAAACTTTCTGCATTTTTAGATTTTTAAAAAAACACCATTTAGGCTAGTATGTGTTTAAGCCTTTTGAATTACGGGGACATATGCAGTGTCTTCATAAACCAACTTTCATACCCATGTTAATATACAAATTTGAGTCCTCGTGAACCACACACACACACTCACACTCACACACACTCTCTCTCTCTCCCACACACACTCACACTCACACACACACACACACACACACACACACACTCAGCTCACCTGTGGTCTCGCAGGTGGTCTTGTCTCCGGAACGCTTTGTGGCAGATGTCGCAGGTGTAAGGCCGCTCGTCGGTGTGTGTGCGCTCGTGGATCAGCAGGTTGTAGGATTTGGTGAAGTGTCTCCCGCAAAACTTACAGATAAATTCCTTTTTGCTTTTGGACGGGAGTCTGCCGCGCGCGGGCTTGCGCCCCGGGGAGAGTTTGGCCAGCTCGCCCGGTTTGGGCGGATCCTCCTGCGTGGCCGCCGCCGCGAGGTTCGCGAAGTCGAACCTGGGTCTGTCCTTGTGCAGCGCGGCGGCGACGCGCGTCGCGGATCCGTGTTTGGGGTGGAAGAGGTGCGCGGCGAACGGCAGAGCGGCGGAGAACGCGAAGCGCGGGTCCACGAGGCCCTGAACGGGCGGGTAGCCCAGGCTCCAGTGGTTCATCTGCAGGGGTTGGAGCGAGCTCAGGCCGTACCGAGGGTCCGCGGCGGCGGGGAGCGCGTTGAGCGTCTGCAGGAGCGAGAAGTTGAGCTGCAGCGCGGGGTGCAGCGGGATCGGCGCCGGTAACGCTTTACTGCCCATCTCAGAACCGAGCTCCAGCAGGATCCTGACAAAACACAAGCACACCGAGGCATGAAACACCGCCTTGATTTCCTTACTTTTTAAAAAGTTTTTCCTTTCCTCAAATTATGATAGCTACCTGGAAAAACATATAGGCTACAGGAAATATATTTTGCAGCATTTATTATTCTCTTTTTATAATTGTCTCGCATGCAAAACATCTGTTCATGCTGAAATAATTTTACTATCCCCAGATTTATTACTTTTTTGCCTTTTTTTGTTATTATTTTTATAGGATAAAGTTTTTTTTTCTTCAGTTTTGTCCCGTGCCGTTCTCTGTCGCTATTTAAACAAGTTGTCATAAAAACGCGTTGAAAACACGTATATTTCTAAGAAACAAATCTATGCATAGGCTAATAATCATCTAGAATCACAGAAAACCACGAAACGAGCCGAAAGAACCCTAGAGCGACAGTTCGACTGGACATTGATCTCTGAAAGCGTTCATGAAGTGGACGAGTAACTCTAACCTAATATTAAACTGGACTTAAATCTCTGAAGGACAACGAGATGTCGAGATAAAGTTTAGAGTGTTTGAGATCTTCAGATACCAGACTGCTTCACTCTGTTTGCTAAATATTTCAATATTATTATGAAGCCAATCTAAAATAAATCACCGATCATCAAGCATATTTCGCTGACCTCTACAAGACAGAATGCGTTTCTATTAATATCCGTTTCTTGCACACTGCTGATCCAGATGTGATTAGAGCTAACAATCACGACAATCGAACTTCACGGTGGGAAAAATACTTATTTTTTTATTCTCGTTCGTGGAATATAACAGCATCATAAATTGTGTAACTTAAACATCATTTTTTAAATGTAAATTTACAGCACGTCTCATGAGAGGTCGTGCATTTCTATTAAAACAGAATAAAGTTGTTTTCTCACCCACAATGCCAAAGGTCGCAGTTCTACTGTAAATCCGCAGAGAGCGAGAAACTTCAGCTCAGATTCATAACTACAGTTTAAACATGCTAAACCGTGTCAGCTTCAGAAGTGTTAGAGTGCGGTTCTGCTCTGGACCTGCTCTGGATCCCCGGATCCCGCTGTTCTTGTTCGAGCGGCGGAGCTTCACGGACCCGCCCCTCTCTTACAACACACACACACACACACACACACACACACACACACACACACACATTCCTATAAATGTGTTATTTGAGCAGACGCCTCTCATACACAGTCAAACAGAGGAATGCCATTACTTTACAAAAAAACATATATTCTTGTAAACAGAGATAATTTGAAATATTGTGCATCTCTCACACACACACACACACACACGTTTGTTCTGTGATTAAACGAGGAAACATTTTCATTTCTCAATCTCGATATCCCTCAAAAACCTGAAATCTCTCATCATCTTCTCCCCTCATATCGTTCCAAACCTGTGTGGCTTTCTTCTTTCTTCTGCGAAACAAAACGAAGATGTTTTGAGAAATGTTTCATGTGTTTTTTTTGTTGAAAATATAAAATTCAGTGTTGTTTGGTTCCAAACATTTTTCAAAATAGACTGTCATTTGTGTTTCACAGAAGTGAGGATCATACAGGTTTGAATGACATGAGAGAGTAAATAAAGGCAAAATTATGATTTTTGAATAATCCTTTGAAGTATTAAACGGCTGTTAATGATTCGTCTTTGTTCGGCTCAATTAAGGTAATTGTTTCAGGTTTATTTAGTGATGTGTCATGATGATCCAACAGATAAACCTCACGTTAAACATTAATAGCTGAAAAAACCTTTCATTCAACTCCAGTCGCGTTCATCACTTCTGCTTTTAAAACAATTCCAGTACATTATGAATTTCCTAATTAATAGCCTAATTGATTTCCTAAATTAACGGAACATGTAGGCTACGAAAACGTTTTAGCATGAAAAGTGTAGTGCAAAATACATTCTTTTTTGTATCTTTATATAGCCTAAATATATTTCATCTGATCATAATGTATTTCAAATGAACGTAGGACTATGAATTATGTCTTTTGCCGCGAAGTTAATAATTTCATTTATGTTAAAAATAAATAAATAAATGTAAAGCAGATTTGGGTTTGTTTATTTACTTTTCTCGGTGAGTTGTCAGAGATTAGCCTATAGCTTTTATGTTAAAAAAGAAAGGAATAAAATAATAACAATATAAACATAATAATAATAATAATACATTAAAATAAATAATTGTTATTCTGTGTTTAAATCGCGTTCATGAATCTAGTCTATACTGAGGTGAATTCAGCAGCTAATTAGGTTTTGAAATGAGCAGATATGATTATGATGAACAAAGCAAATAGGCCTATATCAGTGAGGGTTCATTTAATCAACTCTTCCTAATTATTTCGACTGAAACAACTGGACTTCTCTGGTGTTATAAGAGGTATTTATATGAGATCTTCCGTGTGCAGAAACAGAGATGAATGATGTCTGAATGAGTGAAGAGCGCCGCCTGTCGGTCTCAGAGAGGAACTGTCTGAAATCCTCACGAGCCATGAGAACACATGCGAGATTAGTCAGATATGTGTTCATTCATCAGCCACTAGACACAGCTTCTGGGTTATAGCAGGATATCTGCATCAACTCTCTATCAGTCAACAGGAAGTATAGCAAGATCTGATGTAGGTACATTTAAAAACGCTTCCTCATATATATATATACATGCAATTTACAAATAAACCATTCTTTTTACTTTTGAATGAATGCTTAATTTTTCAAAACAAGCCCTGCAGTTTATAGAGCAGGTTGTGATGTAAACAGGTTGTGTAGAAAAGAAAAACTCAAACCGTGAAAACATCACAAACTTGCAGAGAATTCCAAACACTGTTACACAGGAGACGCTGTATTTCTGTTTGATTTGATGTCTTATATAGAGCTGTTTCTTCCATTTATTCATTAATCAGATGCTTTTACCCGGTTTGACTAAGCAGCAGCAGCAGAACGAGCATAGAAACAGTTTAATTTTAGCTGTAAAGAGCATGTTGAGTTGTGTCAGCTGTCCAATGATCAGTAATACCCACTAATCAGTCAGTTATGAGCGCACATATATGTGTGTCTGGACACTCTGTCTTTAATCTCTCTCTCACACACACACGCACTCGCACTCGCACACGCACACGCACACACACACACACACACACACACACACACACACACACACACACACACACACACACACTGATCCTCCACAGAAGTGTGTGAATGTTAGAGCAGAAAACACACACACACTCACACTCACTCACTCACTCACTCACACACACACACAGCCGAACTGTTTTAATGATATCTGACTCTGTGTTGGGGTCTCCAGCAGGAAGTGATGAAGACTCACATCACGAGCGACGGCTCGATCGAAAGGCCTCGACACACGGATCCGATCCGTTCGATTGTCTGGAGCCGCATTCAGAAAGAAGACTTAAGAAAAGAGGTTTTGTAGGTAAGGTGAAGTTTACCTGGAACAGGCTGAGAGGTGGCGAGGAGCTGGAGTGAGACGGAGCAGCTACAGAGAGGCAGGATGTCAGCCGAACCTGCTGTGGTTTGCAGCCCCCTCGCATGCGCTCATCCTGCCCCCCACCTCAGAAACACCCAGCGCTCCAGATACAGCCTCGACTCTCACATCGCCTGAGACGCTCCCTTCTGCAGTCAGGAAAGTCTCCCAGAACACTTCAGCAAACACGACAGGCGTCCACACAAAGATGCCCTGGTCACATCGATTAAACACACGACACACACGCGACACGTGACACGTGACACTTCACATGCAGCAAGAAACTAACGCATGCCACACACCGTCCTGAGATCAGCCGTGAATCATCCCGCGCTCGTCTGCTGTTTGAAGCGTTTCCCGTCACGCTGGTTTGCAGCAGAACATCCCTGTGATCTAGTGGAGTCACATCTGAAGATACTTCATTAACCTGAGCCACAGACAGAGACGAGTGAATGAGTTCAGTCATTGTTTACTGCTGCTCTGTGAGATTTGACCTGTAGATGATGGACTTCACCTAACTCACTGTTAGATGCTCTGAATGAAGCTGTGCTGCAGCTCACAAACACTCACACACACACACACACGTCTGGTCAGCTATCCTCGTGGGGACTCTCCATAGGCATAATGGTTTTTCTACTGTACAGACCGTATATTCTATTGCCCTACACCAACCCTACATCTAAACCTCACAGGAAACTTTGCAATTTATTAGCTTGTTTACCCGTGGGGACCTCAATTTAGGTCCCCACTGTGACACAAGTCCCCATGAGTCTGTGTGTATTCAGGTTTAAGTCCCCACCAGAATAGAAAAACAGGTACACACACACACACACACACACACACACAATCTCTCGGGGCGCGGCTCATTCTCTGCTATCGGTCAATCAGAATGACTCGCCTCAAACGCACACTTCTGCTGCTGGAAACGCTTTGTTATTCACGAGAGGCTTGTTCACAGAAACACATCAGATGCATTTGAGTCAGTCGCAGTAATGCGCTTCTGAACATCGTATTCATGGTGACAGGAAATGTTGTTTTATAAATGCCTTACTTCGCTCCGAGAAGGTATTTGTGCTTTTAATAGCTGACATTGATGTGAGGGAGGAATGATGGCCGGCTGTGGGTTCTGGAGGTCCAAACGAGCTGTTACACACCAGCACCAGCACAGTCCTGTAAACGCAGGAGAGGGAGTCAGATGGAGGAGGACTTGCTCAAACCTGCAGAACCTGCACGGTGCAATAAAACCCAAGCCTGCTGAGCTGCAACGGATCGGCCAGCTGCCACAGCATCGAGATGCTTCTGATCCACACAGCTCATTTGGAAGAAAGGAAACGGACAGAGATGAGAACTTGATACTCGTGAATTTACGACTCAGATTGGCAAACACTGGCTGGAGACTCAACTTTAACTTCTGCTGCACATTTGATCTCCTGAACTCGCTCATCCCAGCATGTTTTAAAGCTACAGTACTAATATTTATCATTGTTTTTGAATGAACTGATTTAGTGAACCAGTGTTTTGAATGAATCATTTGACTAAATGCCTGTGTAAATCAATTGTCCTGGAAGAGATGAAAGGCGATCTTACTGTTTTTTTCAACTGCTTACATTTTCAAAACTTTGCCTCTTTTTTTCAAAACTTTACACACAAATCCAAGAATCGCACACAAAATGCAAAATGCCTCACATCTCTTGCAAAATTAAGCTCTGCATTCAAA